TATTGTATCACAAGTCATTTCCAAAATCGTTTCATAATAACAGTGATATAGTTAAAAGATTAGGATAAGTGCATCAATACACCATACATATACGTATGCAACTAACCTAAACTCGATCCACTACTCTCATATACGCCCCTTTTAATATAAGGGACAAATGACCTGACTAATTATGAGTAGATATTTTTGCTTACTACCGTTTTCGAGGATACAACCTCATGGGGCCATGACCTCCATCATTTAGGAGTTCCCCAAAACACACCCCACACAATCCACATAATCAAATAATCCATATTAGCTGTAAAAGCTACATACACCATATAAGCCATGCCTACAACATATAGGGATGCCCTGAAAACCCTCCAGGGTCTTACTCCAGGTGTCATGGGAACCCCCACATGGCCTTAGTCCACTACCATATAAATCAGACATACAAACATATAAGGATGCCTTAGAAACCCTCCAGGGTCTTACTCCGGGAGCCATGGGAACCCCCACATGGTCTTAGCCCAAGGATGCCATGGAAACCCTCCAAGGTCTTACACCCAAGTGCCTCGGGAACCCCCGAGGTCTTTACTAAGGATGCCATGGAAACCCTCAAAGGTCTTACACCCAAGTGCCTCGGGAACCCCCCCGAGGTCTTTCATGAAAATATTATAATTACAACTAGCATACCACATATCCTATAACCAACTAGCATGTCACATAACAAATAATGGGCCGGCCTTGGTGCCTTCGACCCATTGGTATGGTGAGGAGACTCACCTCTCAATAATGCTAAACTGATAAGATAGGATCAGATAAGTCCTAACGCGCAACTCCAACTCAACTGCCTATAACCATCATGTGCTTAACTTGTCAAAATCCCGAAATACCATAAATACCCTCAAGGTCAAACTTGGTCAACCCTGGTCAAAGTCCAAGTCAACAGTCAAGGTCAATAGTCCATGTTGACCCCAACTCGTTGAGTGCGTCTAGCAACTCATCGAGTTCCTTCAGAGTCCAGAGAACCGGGACAAACCCTAGCCAACTCGCCGAGTTGTCTCATCGACTCGACGAGTTCACTCGATATCCAATATACGGAGAAACCTGATCCAACTCGTCAAGTTGCCAGGGCAACTCATCGAGTTCCCCCCTGTTTGCTTATTCCGATGATACGTCGATTGCAGGGACTCTAGGGCTTAGATCTGAAACCTAAAGGTGTATAGAAGGATAAAGTCTCCAATTTTATCCTCTAGAACCACTCCGAATGCTCTAAAGCCCTTAACAAGGGTTGGAAAGCTCAAAAGCTTAGCCATGTGGTTCAAGACTCTAGGGATCTGGAATCCTTCCTTTCCATAAGAGGTTCTAATCCTCAAAACGTTCCAAAGATGGAGGCTTTATGGACATGCATGTCCAATGCATGTCTTGAAGTCAAAATGGAAAAAAAGGGAAAATATACTCTAAAATCCATGCATGGCATCCATGCTTAACCAAAAACTAGATCTAGCCCACCATGGGACCATTTTGCCCTGAAGATTCATAAAGTTGCAAACTTTATGCACCCCATGCATGCAATCAACAAGAATGATGGGAAATGAAGAGTAAACTCAAGATCTAGCCATATTCTAAGATAAAAATCGAATCTTGAATGCTTACAATAGTCCACAAAGTGGTCAAGCTCAAGAGTGAAGGCTTTGTTTGCTGGATATCCTCCTTCTTCTCACTATCTTCTTCTTCTTAAGCTCCAATAGTCACTCTAGCTCACAATATGAGAGAAAATGGGATTAGGGTTTAGCACTGACGTTCTTAGGGTTTGGAGGCTGATGAAAGGTCAGCCTCAAGGTTTTAAGGAGATTATATAGGGTGCAAACCCTAAAATTTAGGGTTTTCCTTTACAGCGCCTACTCGTCGAGTAGGTCCTAAATCCCGCGTCCCACAATGATCTCTACTCGATGAGTTGGAGCTCACCAACTCATCGAGTTCCAGTCTGAAACCCTAAAATTATGAAAAGAAATTGATACCTGAAACGAGCGTTACAACGTAGGTGAAATCGATGACTAACTTGGAGGTCGGATGAAAAAGTTATGACGTTTCAAAGTTTTGTCCCAATTCAACATGTTTCACGTGGACCACATGGAATGAGGTCCATGACCACGCGAAATGTTTAGAAAACCCAAAAACTACTCATGCACACCGTGTGAACTAGTATGGGTGCCCCATTTTACCGTTTTGACATCCTACTATTTCATTTTGCACCCAAACCTTCATATTTATCATCCAATACATTTTTAAGAACTTTAAATTGACAAAATAAGTGTCCCCAATATTATTTCATCTTCAGTGAAGTCTTATCTTAGTCATGAATTAATGGATAAGCCAATTATACACTACACGAGCTTTAAAGAAACTCATGTATACATATTGAAACTTTGATTTATAAACTCATAATGGTTTCTAATTTATTAATATATATACTAATTAGCTAATAATGTAGTAAATGAACCTCCCAAACACTCAATAAGCTTTTAGATTGCTTATTTCATCATGGATATATAAATTCCATTGAGTCAAGGAGTAGGAATAGATGATTCTAGAGTTATTGCATTCAAACTCCATTTTCTTCCAAAATCATTATGGATATATCAATCACCAACTAGCCAATATATGCATGATTTAAGGCTTCATCTACGACATTTCCATTTATTAACATTTTAAATTTGAAGTTTCATTCAAAACCTCACAAATCACCATTGAATCCCTAAATCAAATACATAAGCTCAATACATCCGAATTGGAAAATAAATGGGAATGTTGATGTTTCAACTAGATATTTACTTATAAATAACTGAAGTACAAATAATTTCATTGATTCGTTCCATAACTGATCTCATTCATTTAACAAATTCATCATATCATTCCTCCATTCCCGTAACATTCAATGAAACCATAGGCTGAGCATTCACATATGAGATAGGTTCAAATGGTATATCCTCAAGCTAGATGATGATTTCTAGTGTGCTACTCACATTTAATTCCATGGAACTACTATAATAAGACTATCTAAAGAAACAATCTCGAATTAAGGTGATTCCACCATTTTTGGAGCTTAACAAGCTTCCACTTATCACAAACTCCACTAGAATCAATTTGGATTTGATTTCATGAAGTTTACGAGTTATAAATGAAGGTATTTATTGGAAATCAACTAATAATTACAAGTCCTTTAGGAGGAGGTCGCGAAAATACTCTCCCATGATCGAATCAGAAATGGGATTAATAAGTTTGAGTGACTAACATCCGAAGGTGGTTAGACCTTTTTGAGATGAAGACATTATATTGATTCTACGATGATCATGCGACCGTACCATTGGGGTGCACACACCTAGTATAATGTTAGCCTTTGTGGTCCACACAACATAGCAGTCGTGTAGCTTTGTACGGGGAAGATTTAAACCGAGCGACGCTCTATGTGCACAACATGGATAAGTTTTCGTTTCGTAGAGAAGCATTACGAGTCACAACATTATTGGGAGGCCATTTCACCCGTCGACTCAATGGTGGTGCAGTGCTGATGTGACGCCTCGCCTTGGTATGGATGACATGTTGCACCTCGAGGAAAAGGAGTGGTTGACCTGTTTGTTAGTAAATAAATGGAACTATAATGTCTTAACGTTATTTGAATAATATCGACAACTGTACAAGCTGCCTAGTTATAGCGTGCCAACAATGGACGTGTTTGTCACACAACTTTTGGGAGCTTCTAGCTTCTACATTTTAAGAAAAAGCTAAAAAAGAAAAAGATTTGTTCGACAACAGGAGCTTTTAGTTAAACAAAAAGCTCTAAATCCAAAAATACTTCAACTAGCGTTTAACAAAAAAACTCTTTTAGATTTGAACAAATTGACTTAAATATCCTTTAAAATAAATAAATCATATCCATATTTTTGGTAATTATATTATAAGATTAAATATAAATATATTTTAACAATTATGATTTATTTATTTGAAACAAAATATATCTTATACGATTAAATATAAATATAATTTAATAATTATGATGTATTTATTTGAAACAACCATATCAATATAATTTATAATTTATTAATCTTCATCTAAAAATAAGCAAATATTTATATAACTTTACAAACCAAAATTAATATCATAATATTGTTTTTTTAGAATGTCCAAACACTTGTAACATGTAAAAAATATTTGGTCTAGATTCTTACAAAATTGAAAAGTCTTATTAAATATTCATCATTACTAATATGCATAAAAAAGTTTTTACCAATTTAGATGCTTAATCATACGGTACTAAGATTTGGATAAATTTTAACTTTTTTATAATTATAGTTTAGACAAATTAGTTTAAAAAATTTATCATCATTATATTTCATATCTATATATCATTTTATGTAACGATTTAAAAAATTTGTTTTAAAGAAACCTTCAACTTCTAGGTATTAGCTATCAACTTCCATCTTCCACTTATTTTTGTTGAACACGCCTAATACATATTTTTAAAGTCGATTTTTTGTAGTGTATGTATTTTTTTAATCATCACATCAAAATTAAAATCTTAACCGGTAATCTGTCATTCTAAATTATTAGTTGATTGTAGTTTAATCAACTATAATAAATGAAAATCCATTTTGCCATATGTCAATCTCTCATGAGTTTTGACACTTGTCATTTTGTAATATTTTTAAAATAAATTATATCCACATATTAATTCTTAGGGTTTTTCAAATTTTAAAATAAAAAAGCCACATAATATTTATATATGTAAAATATTAAATGTCATAAATATGATATTAAATTGCAATTAATATGTTTCTTTATTTTTATTTCAAAATTTTATTTTAAAAATATTTATTGTTTACAATTTAATATTTAATCTTTTTTTAATTAACACGTGTAATACACGGGTTTTACCCATAGTTTTTGAATATATATGAATATATATTTTTATCGATATAAATATATATTTTTTATGCAGTTTTTCTAGTCATTGTTGTCCGAATCAATTCCAAGTTTCCAACAAAAAAAAAATGCTATTAAAACCCGTGAGAAACCCCCAACGCAAAGGTTTGAATCTGCAAAAGGGTTTTTGTGTTTGAATCGAAGGCGGGCTTCAACTTTCGAGTGTATCACTGACACCGTCCAGTCGGAGTCGAAAATGGATGTCCCCAAAGATCAGATGTCTACTCTTCTCGATTGCGGTCTTTATAACTCTGCTCAAATGCTCGTAAATCTCTTTCCCTCTATGATTGCCACCATCCAGTCCGATTCGAAAGTAGTTTTACTGATGATTTCATTGCAGTAGACCTAATTCGTTTCTTTTGATTTGACCGGTGATAGGGTTGTTTCCTTGTTTCTTCATCTTCTGTGAATAATGACTCCAGCCCACATCTCAAGGCTGAAAATCTGGTGGGTATTTATCGTGTAATTTAACCAATTTCTTTAATGGTACTCCCTGAGCTGCACTGGTCACTTTCTAACTTCAAAAATTCTGTATGTATTTACAATTTTCCAAGATAAATTGCGAGACACTATCATCTTATATAAAGGGATTAATTTAGTGTCTACCTAGCAACAACATTCATATCATTTTCCATCATAGAAGTGCCAATTTAACTCCCAATAACCGATGTTACTACTTAATGTACATAACACCTGTTTTTTTTGTACCAATTTGACATCTTTTGTCCCTGCATTTATAATTTCTTTGTAAATGTTTATTCTGTTTCAGGCTCTCCATGGTGATGCTTTGTTTCGAGATAAGGAGTACAAAAGAGCTATTGTAAGATTTTTCAAATGGATATATATTTTATAACTTCTTGCATCACTGTCTGTTTTCTTCTGAAGATAGTAAACAATATTGATGAGTTGAATGCTTTAAAAGATGTTACAATTCCCAACAAAAACCAATTTTCATCTCATTACTCTCTCTCCCTCTCTTATCTCTAGCATGTGTACAAACAAGCATTGCAATACCACAAAATCATTCCAAAAATAAATGCAACAACTAGAAGTTCATTGTCCACATCAAACAGGTCTTCTTCCCCAAATTCTTTTAATGTATCAGCAATAAATGAAAACGAGGTAATGGACATATTCTCTTTTCATTTATGTCTATTTACCCTTTGTTTTACTTTTGTTGAGATCAATTAATCAAACTATTGCAATTTGTTTTCCTTTTTGAATATCAGGTGAAGTTCAAAATCGCATCTTGTCATTGTGCCATTAACGAGAATAGAGCCGCTCTTGCTGAGGTTTCAGACTATTACTCTCATCCTATAAGTTATTGTTGGTTACTTTTGTTTTTTTTGGGGTCATAAATCAATAGTTATTTCGATGTGTTTGTTTTCAAAAGTGTTCATAGATTTTTTTACTCCATGTATACTGTTTTTCTTTCTCAATCTTATTAGTTTGGCTCATGTAGTGGTTATTAAAATGGGGAAATCATATATTAAAAATCAAACTTCTCTTCTAGTAAAAACCCAAGTTTTTCTTATGTATGCCCCCAATAACATTACAATTGCCTGTGTAAATCCTGAAAATTCAAATGCAATTGATGAAGTAAAACTGGTTTTCATGTGCATGCACACAAGATGATTCCTATTTTTCACATAATCCAATGTTTAAGAAACTGATATGAGGCTTTAACATGAATGGCAATGTACTTTCATTGGTTTGTTTATTATATCATCCTACTTTCATTTCTCCTATTACAAGTTACAACATTGGACTTTGAAAACCATACCCAATAATAGCAATGTCATTGAAATACAAAGCAATTTCTGATGCTATAAAACGAACAAAATCGAAAGTACAATGCCATAATTGGATAGAATTCCAATAATAGAAAGAAAGGAAAGTAGGATGTTCTAATACACAAATATATGAAAGCACATTGCTATTTATTGGACTTAACCCTTTGAGTTTAACTACATGATTTTACAGATGGAGACTATTCCAAGTAAATCAAGGAACTTGCAAATGAATCTATTGTTGGGAAAGCTTTATCGATATTCTAAACACATTCGTCCTGCCATTGCTTGTTACAAAGAGTGCCTAAGGTCTGTTGCTTTTAGACTAAATTACAAAAATGGTCCTTGAGTAGTGAGTATTGCTGCTTTACCAATATTGGCCCCAAAAAGTTTTCTCTTGCAATTTTGGTCCTTATTTGAGAGTTTTGTAACGTTTTGGTCCCTTATTTGAGGTATTTGAGGTTTTGGTAACATGAATTATGTTACAACATGGTTTCCATTTTGCAGACATTGCCCATATATCATTGAGGCTATTACATCATTGGCTGAGTTAGGTGTTCAAGCAAAAGATATTTTTTCATTGCTTCCACAGGTGTGTTGAAGTCACCTCCATTTGGTTTATTATTCATGAACAATGTATAATGTGTAGTTCTTTTTCCTATTAATGGTCTTCCCATATGTGTGGCATAATAATTATTGGCTTGAGCTAATTGGTTGATATTTTGAGTCTTTATTATTTGTTTTAGAAAATTGTAATCATTTTTGTGTTTCAAATTTGATGTTCAAGACACCTAACAGAAGTGGAAGGCCTCCTTTTGATCAGTTTGAATCCAACCGTTGGTTGCAAGTGAGTTACTAACACATTTTGCTCTATATTTGTTTATATTTTGTCATATTTAAGTCTTTCAATTCTCTAGTTATTAATACATGTTGCTCTATAAAATGTTCTTTTTGTTGTCCAGAAATATTATAATGTTTATGTTCTTTTTTATGCAGCGTTATGTTGAGGCTCAATGTTGTATTGCATCAAATGATTATAAAGGTTGGTCAACTTTTGTCAATATTAGACCTTTTTTGTTTTGGGATAATTGTAATTCAGGACAACAAATTATCATCAAAATATGTTTAGGAGCAAAATGACTTGAGATTTTACATTTTTGCATTAGTCGACTTGAGAATTAATGACTCCATAATGAACAATTTAGTTGTTAGTTAATCACAATGAAAAATAAAGATTACTTTTGTTGAAGTAAATAGTCCTTACTCTGTTTATTACATACTAAGTAGAGTTTTTTTGAATTCCTTTAATTATTGTGAATGGTTATTATTTTATTGACATAATTCATATTTACTCAGGTGGTCTAGAACTTTTTTCAGAACTTCTTCAACGGTTTCCCAACAATGTGCACATATTACTTGAAATGGCAAAGGTCCAAATCCAAAATACATTTCCTAAATTTATTTTTCATTATAATACCAAAATGTTGATTATCATATAATCTGAAAGTAATTTTCATTTATAGGTGGAAGCTATCATTGGGAAAAACGATGAAGCCATTATGAATTTTGAGAAGGTAAAAAACACTCCTTCTAATTTGTATTCAACATCTTGAAACTTGTACTCATTTTTTGTTTGACTTTATAGATTCGGTCAGTTGACCCTTATGTGGTGAAATATATGGATGAATATGCTATGCTTTTGAAGCTAAAATCAGATCCATTAAAGTTAAACAAATTGGTGCATGATTTGCTAAACATTGATCCAGCCAGGCCTGAAGTGTTTGTGGCTTTATCTGTTTTGTGTGAAGGGAAAGATGACAGAGCTGCCTTAACTAATGCTGAGAAAGTAATATTTTTGTTAATTAGTTAGTTTAATTTTTTTAAATGCTAATTGTTTCTAAATTTGTTATGTTACCAGAGCATACGAATTGATGAGAGACATATAACTGGACACATAGTGAAGGTATTGCCTAAATTGACACATAGTGAAGTATAGATATTTAGGGTATGTTTGATGGGATGGAATGGAAAAAGTAATGGAATCAGGAAGGTAATGGAATGAGTCATTACATTCCATGATAGTGTTTGGTTGGTTGGTAGGAATGGAATGGATTTTCGTAATTTTTTTTATATAATATGTAAATAAAATGTATAGTTTTTAGTCAACTTATACATTATTTAATTGTACTTGATGAATCTTTAAGTTAAAAACACTAGAAGCTCAAAGGTTACATTAGAAAAAAATATATATTCTACTTTTTTTTTAGAAAAATAAAATTTTAATTCAATTAAAGATCCAAGATTAAAAAAATGATCCGTGTCAATAAAAAAAAAAATTAAAGCTGGGTTATATTACAAATTTTCATTTCATCTGAATGATGGAATAAAAAAGATCTCTTGACTAAGGAATGATAATTAACAAAATCAAAGTAAATCATATTCCTCCAAAAAATGATCTATATTCCATTCCATCTAACAAAACAAGCCTACTTTTTTCATTCCAATGGAATGGATCATTCCATTCCTTCCCCAATTCCATCATTACCAAACACAATCTTTATATTTATTTTCTGTATTTTATCCTGGAATAAAAAGTTTGATTGTTTTTTTGTTTAATATTCATGCCAATAAATATCATAAACTGACATCTTTTAGCTTTTAGGGTAACCTGTTTCTATCAATGAATCAACCAGAAGCAGCTGTGGTTGCCTTCAGATCTGCTCAGGAATTAAGACCTGATCTGCGTTCCTATCAAGGTGCATTTGCAATAAAAAAACTCAAAATATATCTATATATATATAAGATATAAATATATATAAAAAATAAAAGAATTGTATGATCTTTTGTTCAGGGTTAGTTCGATCTTATCTGGCAGTTTCAAAAACCAAAGAAGCATTATATGCTGCAAGAGAGGCAATGAAGGCCATGCCTCAATCTGCAAAAGCTCTAAAACTTGTTGGTGATGTATATGCTAGTAATTCTAGTGGAAGAGAAAAGGTATATACTGTAATAAAAAATTAATCAGTTTGACTTTAAAAAGTCAAACAAACTAAAGTGAAGTTTGAAACAGGCTAAGAAATTTTACGAGTCTGGCCTTAGACTAGAACCTGGTTACCTTGGAGCTGCATTAGCATTGGTGGATTTGCACGTGATGGAAGGTCGCAACTATGAAGCTGTAACTCTTCTTGAAAGATACCTTAAAGATTGGACTGATGACTCACTACATGTTAAGCTTGCTCAGATTCTTGCTGCTACTAATATGTTGCAGGATTCCCTCTCACATTATCAGGCTGCTTTGAGGTAATATTAATCTACTTTCATCAAATTTCAATTCCAAACACAGTGCAACCTGTTTTGTCTGGTGTAAAAAAACATGGCAAAAAGAAACAAAGAAAAGAAAAGGCTTAATATGTTTTTTTTTTCTTTTTTCTTTCAGGATTAATCCTCAAAATGAATCAGCAAAAAAAGGGTTGGAACGATTGGAGAAGCTAATGAAGGTTTGTTTTGTTGTTTATATGTCCAAGATAATGATGCTCTAACAGTTTTGTTAAATTTTTTTTTACAAGAAAATAGTTAGAAACAAGCAAAAGTAGACTCTAAAATATGGATTCTTTTGTTTGGTAAGGGAGTTGATCCTGATGCCCCTGAAGAAGAGGAGGAGAACGATGGTGATGATGGTGATGGTGATGGTGATGCTGAAGAAGCGGAGCTTTTATGATGGATCAAAGGTACTTTTTTCTACATCTTATGTTGGGCTAATTACAAGAAATAGCAACCTACTTTCATTTATTATTATTATTATTATTTTTTTATAACATCTTACTTTTATTTACAGCACTTTACTTCCATTTTTATAAACATATATATGACATATTACCAGGTTTGAAATTGGTGACATCTCTCATCTTTTTGTTCATCTACATGTATATCATCAAGATCTTATATAGTCCACCTTCAGATGGAGATTAAGAGAACTTAAAAAGCATCTGAAATATGTTTTGACCAATTTAAATTTGGTCAAAAAAATGTTGTATAAAAAACTTGTAAGGTGATGCATGCTCATAGCTTCAAGTTGTTTGACTCGCTAATGAGCAAAAGAAATGATTCAATCGTCTTTTATTCAGACATGTGTTATTTTTCGTGTAAAACTTCGATTCTTTTGTAGATTTATTTACTTAGTGATCTTAATCATATATAACTCTTAATCATGTAACATTCATTTATCAGCTTTATCAAACGTTTATTCTATTTTAGTGGGGTTTATACCTTTTTTATTTATACCTTCTTTAACCAATACTAATTTCATCGTCTTTTCATAAATAAATTTCAAACTATTACCAAAAAAGTAGTAATCAAAATGTATTTGGCAAAAAGTTAAAGTTTTAGTGAAATGTATATATGAAACATGGTAAAAATAGTTTCGGTGTTGGATTAATTAATTAATCTTCTATGTAAATAATTACATACATACATAACACTCGTTCAGGCCTTTAAAATTAGTGCAATATCTATTTTTTATTAGGAAGTTTTATAATTAATTTTATCTTGTACGCAAATAATAAGTATATGCATAACACTCATTGAAATCTTTAAAATAAGATTAATGTCTATAGTTCTTATCAAGAAGTTTTATAATTAGGGCGTGTTTGGCAAAAGTAGCTGTTAGCTGGAAGCGGGTAGCGGTTAGCTGGTAGCAAGAAACTGTAACTTTTATTTTTTATAATAGTGTTTGGAAAAAGTAGCTGGTAACTTTTGTAATGTATAAAATTACATAAAAGGACAATTGATTAAAAATAAATAAATATATAAATATATTTTTAAGGGTAATTATGGAAATTGATTTCAAAAGCTCAGTAGCGTTTGGATTTGGAGCGTTTTGATTAAACTAAAAGCTAAATGTTCGTACTGCCAAACAAAACTTTTTGTTTAAATTAGAGCGTTTTGTCAAAGAGAAATTAAATATCCTCCTACTTTTTGTTCCTACAAATCCTCCTACCCATTTAAATGATGACATGTGTCACATTAATATCCTAAAATATCACTAAATTTCATTAAATGAGTATTTAATGTTACACATGTCACAATTTAAATGGGTAGGAGGATTTGTAGGAACAAAAAGTAGGAGGATATTTAATTTCTCTTTGTCAAAAGCTAAAAGCTAGAAGCTCCCAAACGATTCCAAAAGCTCCGTACCAAACACACCCGAAATAAAATTAATTAAATATAAAACTTCCTAATAAAAACTATAGAGATTGAACTTATTTTAAGGTCTCAATGACTATTAATCTATTATATATGTAATTATTATTTACATACAAGATTTATTAAGAAAAAAAAAGATAAATCAGACTAATCCCGCCAACCATTTTCTAAGATTTAGTCAAAAATTAGAAAAACAACTCAAATATTTTTATTGGCGCCAGCCTGTGAAAATATCAAATTTTAGTCAACTTTGAAGCTTCATAACTTTGTCATATGAACTTCGTCTGGGTTGATATTTTTCATTGTTTTCTTTGTAACAATGGTTATCTACAAACATATCACACTCCAAATTTAGCTGTAAGGAATTCATACTTTGTAGCTCCAAATTATGCTATCTTGTAAAATATATGAAAAAATATCAAACTTTAAACATTCATAAATTTCTTGTAAGAACTTTGTTTGAGCTTAATTTTTTTCATTGTAGTTTGTAACAGTGGCTATACTTACACATATCATACTTGAAATTTGGATATCGGAAAGTCGTACTTTGTAAGCTCCAAAGTAGCTAGTTAACATTTTTTTTCAAAGATCATCATTTTTCATCTGGATATCGGGAAGTTGTACTTCTACTATGTATTGTTGTTAGAAGTGACAAAGGGCAAGCAGATGGTGACCTACAAAAAATTGATATTTTTTTCACAGGTCATCGAGATTTTTGCAGGTGGTGACTGCAGAAATTTGGAAGTTTTTTTTTGCAGACTACATAGATTTTTGTAGGTGACCTGCGAAAATATGAGAATTTTTCACAGACAGCCTAGATTTTTGGAGATGGGTGACATGCGAAAACTTGATAATTTTTTTCACAAGCCACATGAGATTTTTGCGGGTGGTGACATACGAAAATCTTGTCTACATATCTTTTGCTAATTTTTAGTTAAATCGTGGAAAATGGTTTGTAAGATTTCAAAAACTTGATTTATATACTACCCGATTTTAAATTTATAATCTTAACCTATTTAATTAACTAATTGCACTTAGACAATATACCTAGTCAAATTTATAGAATAATTTAGATAAGCTAAGTATCGAACTCAGGGAACGGATTTAACTAATAAAATAATTACTAAAAATTAATCTAAAAACAATAAGTAAAGAGGGGGTTTTATTTGATTTTGCAAGTTCAGATTAACTTAAAACTCAACACTCAACTAAAAAAAGCGATTGTAAACAACATTAAGAAGACACTTCTGTTTAGCTTTGAATCCCCTTTTTTCCTATGTGGAGTTTCTAAATATGGATTTATTCAGTCAGTTACCAATTTAAATATACGTAGCAGTCTTGATCCAATCTCGTATTATTTTCACCAATTCATGAACTACTATGTAATGATCATACACAATCAAACACATAATTGATTATTAATGATAATTGGGCTATGTAAGATATATCTAGATAATCATCTCATGACAAATTACCAAACATAATTATGATTAAATTAATGTTCTCCAACACAGTTAAATTTGTTACCTTTATTACTTAATCTAAGATGCGATTAATCCTAGCTCTAGCAATTTATTGATCATAAACTACTAGGTAAACAAGTTCATGCAATTCAAATGGTCATTAAACTATACTTAACTTGAAGCAAAGCAACAAAGATGCAAACTTTAACATGGTGGGTAATGAGAATCAAACACATTCATTATCCAACTTCATAAAATCAAACTAGAAGCAAGAAACTAACACATAGTATTAGGGTTCATCTACACTAAACGAAAACCTAATGATTAACTACTCATAGCAGAAAATAAGCACACAAAAGCATAAGAATTCAACATAGATAATCAAATGCAAACCGAATGTGATGTGTAATCTTCAAACATTCTCTCTTCCAAAGGGTTGTTTTTCGCAGATATTTGGCTTCTAAAATCGACTATATCTCCAGAAAATCAGATCCAACCTCCTTAAAGTCGATATGCAAAGGGATATTTATAGTTTCCAAAAATCGTATCTCACGTCATGAGAATTAAGGTCTCACGTAGTGAGATCAGTGCAATTCGTGCCGTGATTATCTTCCGAAAGAATCCTCCTCACGACATGAGATTATAATGCTCACGTCGTGAGCTCAGTTATCGTCCATATCATCGATATTTTTCCTCTCGCCACACCATGAGACTCGTATTTTCATGGTTTTTCTTCCTTTTAAGCTCCGTTAAGCTCCCAACTTCAGCTCCAGTCCTTCCAGGTTCTAGTATTTGTCAGTTTTGGTTCTTTTCCTTCAAGAATGTTCTATTTGGCTATAGAATATAATTCAACTCAATAAGTACCAAATATATTTGCAATTAACCGAATATTAGCTTAAAATGTATTAAAATAATGTCTAAATATATGCATAAATGTAGCAATATCAATATGATTTATCTTTTTCTCGTTACTTAATTATAAAACTTCTTAATAAAAACTATAGATATTGGAATTTGGACTTATTTTAAAGGCCTCGATGAATGTTATATGATGATATATCTTTCAAAATATGTATTTTAGTTATTATATATATTTTTACCAATATATTAATTAATTAACAATGATAATGCCAAAAAGTAGAACTCCATTAATTAAAAGTGTAAGGTGAAATAGTTAATTTTTTTTAGCATAATAAATAGTGTAATTTAACTAGTCACCTTTAGATTTCAGACCTCATTTTGGATTTTATTTCTGACCTCATTTCGGACTACATCAACTTCAAACAATGTCTTCTTCTAGCAATGAACATATTCAATTTTTGTGGATATGCGTTGATTCTTTGTATGATTATATGTTTTTATTTGTGATTATATGTTAAAAATAAGGAATTTTTGTATGATTATATGTTTTTATTTGTGATTATATGATTATTACTTGTTTTTAGGGTTTTGATGAAAGATCTTGTATGCCCAAGAGTCATTATAAAATGATATTGTTAATAATATATGATCATATATGGTTACACCTTATAACAGGTTACCATCAACTGATTATTTATTAGTGTAATTTGATTATTAATAAATACATCAACACTTGTATTTAATTGGAAAATTATTATTTCATAGAAATAATATTTTACTAATTGAGAATTTATTATTTATGGAAATAATATTTATTGGAGAAATAACAACTTATGAATATATCATAAAGTATGATTATTTATATGTTATATTTATATCTCATTAAACTGGTTTTAGTTTATTTATGTAAATGCGATTTATATAAAAGAGAAAATCAAATATATAAATAGTTATATGTTTTATATACATATGTTAGAAATCAATTATATAAAAGGTAGCCTTTTATATCTATTGGATATATATATATATATATATATATATATATATATATATATATATATATATATATATATATACACACACACACACTTAACTAGCCATGAATAAATAAATTAGCCATCACTTTTTGGTCTCTTTGACCTTATGGCCGAATTTGACATGAGGAATGGTCATAGATTTCTTTTTCATTGTTTAATGTATGTCCCATGACTTGCTTTTGCTTTTGATTTTTGGTTGCACCTTTTTTTACATTGGATGGAGCATAAAAGATGAACTTGTAAGCATTTGTAGATGACTTTAGTCTTGCAAAATGATCTTTTGGTGGGAGTAAAACTAGTTTCATTTTGCTAAAATCTTAAGTCTTCAGTTGCATTGTTTATGTTTTTAAAACAAATTTTTGAATAAAAACCCAACATTTGGATGATTATATGTGGGCATATGTGTCTATTAGAACAACTAAAGTTAAAAAAAATTTGTAAAGCTGTCTGGAACAAGTCCAGAATGTGTTGAACTGGTACGGAACACATAGAACTGTTCCAAAATGTTGTCCTTATTCTGAAATGGTGTTTGGAAAACAACCATTATAGTCCAGAATGGTGTACTGAACATTGTCCTTTTAGTCTGAAACATGCATCAATGGCCTAATTTAAATTCCTTTCATTGTAGCGTGATAGACCATATAAAGTGGTTGTG